CTTAGACATCCACTGAGGAGCGCCCTTCGCTCTCGCTGGCTGGGCAACGGGGGGACTGGCGGCTGGAGCGGAGGGACTTGCAGGGGGCTGGGTGGGGGCTAATAAACCGGGACGGAAGCAGAGTCCATGGCAGCGTCTGTTTGGGACTCGCCGGGGTTAGGACAAGGGCGGGGACGCTGAGTCGGGGCATGGTTCCTATCCGGAGGGGCTGCAGAACTAAGGTGTCTGAGATTCCCTCATTACCTCAAGTCAGGAGCGGTGTGAGACCGTGGAAAGCCGCTGGCTACCACCCCCACCCCCTACGCGTCCGCCGGCAAGCTCCGGGACCAGCCGTGATCCGGCCGCTGAAGTGGCTCCAGCTCCCTTCCCGGCTCCTTCCTGCCCAAGACAATGGGGCAGGAAGCAGGTGTTGGGGGCCTAGAACCCACTCAGCCGCCTCCTCTCTGGCTGGAAGGGCATAACAGCGCCCTCCTGTGGTACACCCAGGAGCAAGGTGGGCCTCCACCCCGAGGAGGATGGTAATCCTCTTGGCTTGCATCCCACAGCACTCTTTTTCTCAGTCCTGGAGATGAGGCAGAGCAGATGTAGCTTCATTTGTCAGACAAGACACAATGGAGGTCCAGAAATCTCAAATAATTTGTCCAAGGTCATGCAGTGAGTCTGTGGAGCTGAGACCTGAGCCAAATGTTTTGAGGATCCAAATGGTTTCCCTTTAGCCTCTGAATCCAATGAAACCAGGCCAGAGCTTCAAGCCTTTTATTCCATTTTGGCAGGTTTGTATAAAAATACTCTCTTTAGGAAAATAAATAGCAGCTGCCCTTGCAGTGGAGGCTTAGATTCCCTGGAGCTAAAGTCTTCTCAGAGCCAGGGGCTGCAGCTCAGCTCATCACAGAAGTCTCTAGCACTCTCTTGAACTGTGCCATTTCTGGAGGGGACGGCAGAATGCCCTGGTTCAATCACCGGGTGCTGCTGGCAGTGGGGCTGGATGAGTTAGTGTTCTAGGCTGGTATCATATCACCTTCTGTCCGGGGGTAAGGTTGGGTAGATCACAGGAAGAGGGTAATGAAGACTTAGGGAAGGCCTGGAGGGGGTTAGGGCTCCAGAAAACCTCTAGAGGTCTATAAAGTCCTTGGGGGCTGCCAGGAGTTCTCTTGCACAAATGGGAAATAGTTCGTCTCTGATTTAATGCAAATTGTGCTAGAGAGGCCAGCCCTAGAGAAACTGAGCTGCTTTGGTGGCCCCAAGCTGGCTCTGCCAGGAAGCAAAATAGGCTCAGTCTCATCTGGAGGGATGGAGAACCTGCTGGGGTTGAGCATGGGATATAGCCCAGGCCAGCTGGACCAATGGATGGGGAGATATGGGCCAGGGAGGATCACCAGAGTGCCTCATAAGGCCAAGAGGGTGGGGGAGCCTAGGGGATCAGAGGATGGGTCCCCACTGCTGCTACTGCTCCTGCGATGGGCTGAGGCACAGGGCTCAGGCGTACTGGGGTAGGTGAAAACCAGACTGGGTGTGAAAGGAGTCAGAGAGGGTGTGGTCATGAGCGTGGGGGTGTGCAATGCTTCGGGTTCAAGCACAGGCCCTGGGGAGAGGGAGATACAAGGCACAGGGCGGGAGGGGGCTGGTGGGCTGCTGGCACCGCCTGGGCCACCAGTGTCGCTCTCCTTGGCTCCTTCCGGGATTTTGCAGATGGGGCGGTGGGCTTCGAGCACCAGCTCCAGCCGCTCCTTCTGCTTCTGCAGCTCCTCAATCTCTCGCTGCAGTCCTGATTTCTCGTCCTCCAGCTTGTCGGTCTCCTGTAGGGAGAAGGTCAGGAGAGGAGTCAGGAAGATGAGGGCCGAATACCGCGTCGCCTTCCGTGGTGGTGGTGGTGATTTAGGAAATTGGAGGTAGGGTGAGGAGTCCTCAGCAAGTCTGGACTACAATTCCCATGAGCCCTTGGGAGAAAAATGTGCCGGACTCCAATCAGGTCCCCGGGGCATCTTAGGAGACTGTCTGCCTGAGCTTCAGCTCGGCTGTGCAGTGCTCGGTACTTTTTCCTGGTCCTTTTCTCCGAAGGCCTGTCTCTCCAGCGCCCCCTGGGCCCTACAGGCTCACAGGAGGCGAGGCCCTCCGAAGGTTTGGTGGGCCGGGGCCTGGGCGCCCTCCGCACCGGCCGATGCTCACCGCCTGCAGGAAATCGGTCAGTTCCTTCCTCCGGTTCCTGCACTTTGCCGCGGCCAGCTTGTTCCGCTCGCGCCTCACCCGACGGCGCTCCTCCTCCTCTGGGCTGATCTGGGGAATAGAGGAAGCAGTGAGGTGGATCCTGGGCCACTGGCTGCCTGGCAATCGCCTAGTGACTGGGTGGCCCAGTGGTAGGATCCTGGTGGAGGGCATGGCAGCGCGGGGGCGCCCTTCTCCTGCACTTTAAGGATCACCGCGCCCAGCCCGGTTCTTGGAACTCACGCTTTAGTAAACTTACAATAGTTAAATTTTCACCCTTACACCCAGCTTTTGCCTCCTACGATTACCTTCTCAGAATGCCCTCCTCTGCCCTTCCACAAATCTTAATCCTTTTCATGTCCCAGGATTCAACTAAGATGCCTCTGCCTTGCCCCCTAGCCGGTTTGGCTCTGTGGATAGAGCGTCGCCCGCGGATTGAAGGGTCCCGGGCATGTACCTGGGTTGCAGGCTCCATCCCCGGCCCCTGCGGGGGAATGTGCAGGAGGCAACCAATGGATATGTCTCTCACAGAGATGTTTCTCTCTCTCTGTGTCTCTCCACCTCCCTTCCACTCTCTCTAAAAATCAATGGGAAAATATCCTCGGTTGAGGATTAACAACAACAAAACAAAATAAAAGATGCATCTGCCTCCAAGAAGCTGCCTCTCATTTCCCAGCCAGAAGTGGCCTTTGCTCCTTAGAGCTGGTGGGAACCGGCCACTCTTTTTCGAAGGATCCCTATTCTTTTCAGTCTCTTGATAACCAAGTCTCCTTTTCTCCATAGGCTGTAAGCACTAGGAGGGGCCAATGAATGCTGCTAAGCAGTTAATTTTTTAAAATATATTTTTATTGATTTCAGAGAGGAAGGGGGAGGGAGAGAGAGAGAAACATCAATGATGATTGAGAATCATTGATTGGCTGCCTCCCCCCACTGAGGATCGAGCCCGAAATCGAGCATGTGCCCTTGACCAGAATCAAACCCAGGACCCTTCAGTCCGCAGGCCGACGCTCTATCCACTGAGCGACACCAGTTCGGGCTTGCTAAGCAATTATTTATTGGGAATCTGCTGTGTGCCAGCAAAGTGCTTTTCTTAGATTCTTAACACAACTTTCCATGTAAGGAACTGAAGCCCAGGGAAGATGAATAACTTGTTTATGCCCCTAGAGCAGAAATTAAAACCCACTCTATTCTACGTTGAATGAGAGGCCAGCTGATGAAAAGCATCTCCCCCCAAAAGGAACCCACTTATAGCTCACAGCCCCAGTCTAAGAGTACCCAGGATCAAATCCCCCTCAGGACAGGGCTGAAGGAAGAAAGTCCAGAAGCCTGCCTCTGGGGGGCCAGCCATTCTGTTTCTGGGAAAGCCTCCCAATAGCACATCTTTCCCAGGATCCCAAGCTCCCTCCCCATCCTCTACCCTGCCCGGCAGAGCAGTCTGTTTAATGTGCAAACCTCACCCACTACAGTCTCTTATACTAAAATGCTCCAGGGAAAGGAAAGTGGCACCACTCCCTTAAAGACTCTATCTCTTTATTATTTTTTCTCTCTCTCTATTTTGGTAAGGACTTTATTAGTGTGTGGGTAGGAAAAATTGGGGAAGCAAAAATTCCCAGCTCACTCTTCTTCAAACCTTCTCTTAGATCTGGGTGAGACAGTGTGGCTTGGTGGTTAGGATCTCACTTTAGAATTGGACAGACCTGTCTCATTACTCACTACTTGTGTGATCTTGGGCAAGTGACTTTATCTTTCTGTGCCTTCATTTCCTGGGCTCTAATATGGGGAAAACCAGAGTACATTCGCCAGAGGGTTTTAGGGAGGTTTTAAATGAGATAGGGAAACTGAAATTCAGAGAGTGGCTAAAGGGAACTGTCTCCTGTTCTCTCCCCAGCTATATAGACATAGACAGCATAAGCCCACCCTCTCCACACATGTCAGCAGGTGGATACCCTTTACTTTCCATGTACCTTTCCACATGTACCTTACAAGTTCTCCCTCTACCTCCATTCTTGCTCCTGCTATCCCCTCTACCTGGAATGTCCTTTCCTTCAACTATATCTATGCAAATCCTACCCATTTTTCTAGACTAATATGCCTCCACCTGCAGGAAGCATTCCCTGATCCAAAGGTGACCTCTTTGCCTCCTGGGCCTTCCTAGAGTCTCCTCTCAATAGTTACTATTGACTATAAGTCCACCTTGGCCAATAGTCACTAGTGGTGCTACCTTCTCCCCCCTTCTAAGCCTGTGTTCTCCTTCTGGGCAAGAGCTATCCTCCTGTGGGAATCAGACCAGTGCAAAGCCTCTGCTTACCTGTTCAGAGGGCCGGCGACGCACCCCTGGAGGTGGCCCCAGGGCCCGGATGACTCCAGGCCGGGGCTGTGGGTAGCTGTACTGAGGATAGGCCAGAGGTCTGGGGTAGCTGCTGGGTCCCAGGAAGTGAGGCTGAACCATCCACTGCAGCTCCTGGCTGCCACTCACAGCATTGATGCTTGGCACCAGGTGGAACTTCTGAGGGAAAGAAATGGAAGGCCAGGGGTCAGGTCTGTGTGAATTGGGGGCTTCCCGCGGATAAAAGCCACACTGCTACCCACCCTCAGTTAGAGAGACTGCTCCTGAGCTGTGTGACTTTTGGCAAGTCACATAACCTCTCTGAACTTCCATTTCCCCATCAGAGCTAATACTTATAAAGTGTGAATTCCAGGCCCTGTCCCAACCACTTTACAAATACTGACTCATATAATTTGCACAACAGTATCTTCTTTTTCAGACAGGAAAACAGTTGTCCTCAGACACACAGCCAGTAAGTGGGAGGTAGGATTTGGGCCCTGGCAGCTAGACTCTTCAAAGAGGATAATTATAGCTCCTAACTCCGAGGGTAGCTGTGAGAATCAGGTGAGAGAATGTGTGTGACAGAGCCCGGTGAAGGCTGTGGAAGTCAAGAGCCACTGCTCTCGGTCCAGGCTGTGCAGTTATTATTATTATTATAATTTTTAGGTAAAGGAAGGGCCTTGGAGCTTGGGAGCTAGGAAGCTGATGATAATGCGCCTGGGGAGGTTTGGGAGAGGGAGGGGGAAGGGAAAGCTGTGGCACGCTCCCAGGAGGGAGAGCGCCCAGGCTGTCCAGTACCCTTTAGTAGCTTTGAGTTCAGTTTAATTGGTGACTTTAAAAAAAGTGGTGCCCTGGATGGTTTCCTTAATGGTTAGAGCATCCGCCTGCAGACCGAAGGGTCTCTGTTCGATTCCGGACAAAGGCATGTACCTGGGTTGCGGGTTCCGGAGACCCCGTAGGGGCATCCCTGTGTGGGAGCCAACCAATCAATGTGTCTCTCTCACATTGATGTTTCTCTCTCTCTCCCTCCTCCTTCCCTTCTACTCTCTTAGAAATCAATGGAAAAAATATCCTCAGGTGAGAATTTAAAAAATAATAATAATTGGGAGGTGGAGGCGGGTTAAAAGAGGTCAGTGGGGCGGGGTGGGGGAGAAGGGGGGAATATGTAATACTTTCAACAGTAAAGATTTAAAAAATAAAAAAATTGGTGGCTGGGTTTTAAAATCATTGGGGTCTTAGATTCTATGAAATTCGGTAAATGAGGTGAAAACTGCCCAGCACGATGCCTGGCTGTACTGCATGAGCTCCAGGAATGACCTGCCACTATTCTCTTACAGCCAGAAATGGGAGGAATGGGTTGGATGGGGTTCAGTGTTGGGAAAACTGGGTTCAAGCTCTGGGGCTGGGCTCTGGGTGTGGGCGCCCCGTCCTCCGGGAAGAGCCGGCTCAAGCCCAGGCAAGTCCGTACAGTGGTGTCCCTGGCCCCGCTCTGGGGGCCCAGTGACCCCAGTTCCGGGATCCAGGGAGCGCTGGCGGCATCTCCCGCTCTCTCTCGAGGTTGTCGGGGCCCCGGACGCTCTGGGCCAGGAAGGGAGGGGCGCCCCGGGTGAGTCAGCCACGGTGACTCGGCCGCCGTGACTCGGCGGAACGGACGCCGCTCCTTCCCTCCCCTGGCGACACGTGCTCGCAGCCGGCCCAGCCTGTAAAGGAAGGGGTCACCAACCGGTCTCCGGGAGCCCGCCCGGCCGCACTGCGCCGAGAAGGGAGAGGCACCTGGAGACGGGTTAGAGCGGGACAGACAAACGGACCGACACGCAGACGCTCACAGACGGGGCCGAGGATTCCCGGTCGGTGGGGAAATGCTGATGGACCCCTCCTCCCTCCGGTGTGGGGACGTCTGGGTCGCAGTCGGGACTCGGGAGCCCACCCCGGGAACGTAGTCCCGGATGAATCAGACCCGTCTGGGCTGGGACAACGCAGGTGCCCGCCCCCCTTCGAACTCAGATGGGACAAAGCCATGAGCGGCGGACAGGAGGGGAAAAAAAAGGTAAGGACAGGAGGAAAGAAAGACGGAGGGACAGACAGACAGCAGGCAGCGAGGGGAAGGGGATGGGAGAGAAAGAGGGAGAGAGAGGGAGAGGTTGTCAGAAGAGAGACACACATTGACTTGTTGCCTCCCACAAGCCCCCTGACCATGGGGCAGGGAGCAAACCCGCAACTCAAATATGTGCCCTGCACCAGGAATCAAACATGTGACCCTTAGGTGCACAGGCCAATGCTCTAACCCAGCGGTTCTCAACCTGTGGGTTGCGACCCCTTTGGGGGTCGAACGACCCTTTTGCAGGGGTTGCCTAAGACCATCAGAAAACACATATATAATTATATATTGTTTTTGTGATTAATCACTATGCTTTAATTATGTTCAATTTGTA